TCGATTTGGCTTTTGGAGGTATGGGATTGCTTAGGTAGGTGGTGAGATGATTCTTGAGAGGGCCGCGATGTAACGGCTAGTGAGCCGATAATTGTCCTGTATCACGGGATGTTAATCACGTGCCTCAACAATTCTGTGAAAGGCGAAACTTCACTCTAGTTTATTCTGAACATGACTAGAGGATTCTAGCAACTGGCATCGAGACTGTGAACTGGCATCGAGACTGTGAACTGGTATCAGGGAAACATAACAGAGTCTAGTATCAGACAGGAAGGAATATTCTAGATAGCCTAATAAGTGTATAAATAGTTGAGTTAGGACACACATGTTGTGGGATAGAAAATAATAAACAACCTTCGTATATTTGATCGCCCCAGCATCTATACCTCGAACTGTGACACGCGAGATGAGTTTGGCTAGGAATGATTTTCCAGAGAAGTAGAAAATAAGATGTTGAAGGTGTCGGTTGTCGTGATACGAACATTAGATAGGTTATAGTCTGTCTGCGGTTCGTATCTGGGGTGTAGATGGTTGATTTCGTTGAGTTGTGCAGTCGTGAAATCTCTGCAAGTCGGATTTTCGACCAAAAATGAGCCAACACCACTCCTCCCGATCGCCAACTCGACGAAAAGTCTCAAATTCACCCTTTGTCGTGACTGAATCTCGGCTCTATAAGAATATTTCACTCGCAGGTTCGTAGAGGACACCACTGACAGGTGTTCAGCCTTCGTCCTCCCTTTAAGTCTATGTCAATATAGGATATGTAGTATCTATCTACTTGCAGGCCAAGGATATATATCTAGTCGTAAATCTCTTCCTCTGCCTACCATACAGCTCCGCTCAAACAGTACCATCCCTCTCAATTCCTCACTCAAACATTCTCTTAGAGGAGTCCTTTGCCCTTCATTCTCTCTCCTCTCCAGCTAACGAAGGTCATTTGCGGGTGTATACAGAATATATAGAATATCTCTATCTGCAGACAATTAGTAATTATGCGAAGCAGAACAAGTACTCTTCTACGCCTCATTCAAAGGTCTCATGCTACGAGCCCACTCTTAAGAGCCCTTCACTTGATGATACAATCAAAGAAGTCCATCTACCATTATCTAGATTCCTCGTCAACTGAAAAAATGAAAGTCTTCTCCACGTGTATTTTATTTGGGAAATGCTTGGAAGAGCTACCCGAGTCGGGGTTCCCATTTTATCAGTATTAAGACCAAATCGCAAGAAATGCTTTCATTTCTACAGTGCTTAGTTAGCTTGTCAAGCCAAGCATTGCGGATTTGCACTAATGCCCAGGAATTAATATCTTCCCTCCTCATTTCCTTCCGGTACTATGAATCATGTGCGCCCGGTGAGTCAGATTATAGTCAACAGAGGACGGATTGAGTGAACTCGGTTTGATCCGTCAACACAAGTCATGTAACAAAAATTATAGGCTCTCTAATCAGCTTCCGTCTTTTCGATACCAAGCTCTCTATCTATCGCAACTAATATATATCCTACAAATTCTTTGTAGATGCCTGAGGCAAACCTGCCATTTAACGGAATATATTGCCGGTCCGATCAGGGTCTTTATACTTTATCATAGCTGCACGTATCACCCTCCTTCGCCAAAACCGCATCACCAATGGTAAATTTTAACAATGTGTGTCGGTGAAAGTATCATACTCGGGCAGTACGAATTAGGTATATATAATTGCCGTGTTCAGCATGTCGTTGGGACTCAGACAGGGATCAGACTTTGCTCATTAGCGAGACGCTTGGAGGAGATGAAAGAGAGACAACGTATAGTTGCATTTCGAGATACCAGTTAATTTACATTGTTCACCAACTCTGTGACGGCACCCGATCTATACTACTGTGTTTTACTGTGTTTTAACCACCCTTTGTCTTCACACTTAGTCCTGATATGTTATGGATTTGTTAGATGTAATCTGGATATGGTAGTGCAGGGGTTATTTTCTTAATTCGGTTAGGTCTAAGGTAACAAGATATATACTTTTTTTTTGCATCAGATTTTAATTGCGAACGCAGCTATCTAGCTATGACACAATATCAAAGAAAAGTACAGAATAGATGATTCAACGTAAAGGAAGAGCACTCATGCCTCAGATTTCATTTGCAAGTACCACTGCGAAGTTATGGTGGCTTTTTCTTCACCCCAAGTCAACCCTCATCCGTAAATACCCACCCAGGGGAACGTCTCAAAAACCCTGAGTTACCCAGACATGCCTCCGTCATCCATCAACTTTTCTCCGCGCGAAATTTAATCTGAAATGTCTCTTTCCCAAGTGGAGTAGGTGCCCAGGCTACTCAAACTATACCAGAGAATACCACCAGGAGGCGGACCAAAACACTTTTCATCGTTTGCTTATTTTTATAGTGTCAGCTGCACTTTCGCAAGCGAAGTCTTAGCGCGCACAAAGCTCAATTCGTAAAACTCCTTGCCAAATTTCGGAATCTCACGCCCTTAGAGGTTATATCCTTCCTTCGCATCATCTTGTAAACTTGTCCTGATTCATCTCACGTCCATTCCAAAGAGCTGTCTCCCAGATTTGTGCGCCACGCTTTGTGTCCTCCGTCGGGTATAAATATCGGCGTGGGCGTGTATTTGGTGGTCAACTGAGACCAGAGAAGGTCAAAAAGAGGTGTGGTCATTGGGATGAGGATGTACCAGGTCGTACTTGTAGACTTGATGAGACTTAGGTAGGCGTCAAACTCGTTGGGAGCGGAAAAACGACGTGGTGGAGTAATTTTAAATTTTGCCTCGTGGGCCAACTTCTTTGATATTGCGAAATTTGACTGAACTTGACTCTGGGAGAATATTTCACTCCCACGTTCGTAGAGGACACCGCGTACCGTTGTTCAGTCTTTCCCTCCGGTAGTTACTTTACCTAGCACGTTAATGAACAAACCAGACCAACCCATGATTACAGGGGGACTATTCTTAGCACCTGTCAGTGGTGTCCCCTACGAACCTCCAGCTCTCACTGTAGAGTCTGCAGAGTCGAGATTGAGTAACAAAGTCCTCACTCCGACGAAGATTCCCAATCGCTTTCGCGGTCTGTATCGTCTTCATCTCTCAACACATTCCCCTATCACCATTATCATGAAGCTAACCACGATCAGATCAGATGGTAGGGTCGGAGCCCTACCAATCACCAACCCTTGATCATGGAGGAAAAGCCATCCAATGATTCTCAGGAGCTGTTACAGGATCTAGTGCACAAACTCCTGCCGTTCACTGTGTGCGGCCCATGTATAATGATGGCCTTAGGGACCGCTTCGTCATACCCCCTGTAAAGATATCTTTCCTTTCCACATGCTCTTATTCCGCATTGTAGTTATTCATGCGTTATCATTACTTTAGGAAATCAGAATAAACTTCGTATATTTCGTTCGATCGATTAAATCACGACCACATTCCGTGACAGGAGCGTACCTAGTACCCGATACGGAGATGGCGGATTGGATCAAGTCGGCCTCGAATGTTCCAAAGGAGGGAGATATAGGTGAATATGCGCACCTCATGTGGTCCCGGTGTCTAGGCCTCGCCTGGCTGGAGCTGCAGGTTTTTTGAGACTTTTTCCCGCGCACGCAGTTTCCATTGCTACCATTATTATTATTTTTTTTGGGTAGAAGGTTCCGTGGAAATGGTGGCCGAATTCCACGGGTAAACACTCAGCTGAATGGCTATTCATCAAGGGGAATATATCAATGATCTTTCAAGTAACAAATGAGGATAGGAGCACTGTACAAGGTGTGGCCTGGGTTACAGAGGAGCCCAATGTGCTAGATAGTCATAAACTAAAGTAGTACAATAAATACACACACACACACAAAAAGACCCATGACTAAATAATAAGGTTCACACCAATCTTCTCAGCGCAGAGTCCCGTGACCTGGACATACAGGCAATATCACAACACAGCTCGGCGCTGCAGACATGTGCGCACCTCGCGAAATTCAGCATCTGCCTTTCTGGCCTCCTTCTATCTCCTTCCCGAAGATCGTGCTGAAATTTGCTAGCCAGGATTCACAGCTAAACTATGAACCCTGTCTTGTGGGAGAAATCATACAATAGATAATCAAGACACTATGAACATTGGACCAGTCTTTACTGAACCATTACGATCGATCGTGAAGCCACCCCGTAGTAATTCCAACACATTCACTTATTGATTTTATTAAAGTCCTACTTAGCCAGTGAATAGGATGCACTTCTCGAATCTGTAATAAAAAAATATAGCTACATTTATTAAATTTGAGTATAATTCCTTTCAACTTGGTTCTCTTGGACAGTGAGGGTCAAGCCCTTTCCTACTAATTCTAGATAATCTGCTGCATTTATACATAGTCGAAGTATGATTGAGAATGATAGCCAGAGATAGTGAGAAACTACCTTCGTATATCTGATTGCTTATGCACGAATTCCCGAACCGTGACAACTAAGTACAACATCAATATCACAGCTAGATGCGAAACATGATGAAGACATGAGAAGACATCCGCTACCCGAGTCATGGGTAGCCTTGGCTAATATACAGAGAATATCATTATTTGAAACGCCATGACGGGTTGAGTAAGGTAAAATTTATCAAATCGAGTCGAACCAGGGATACTGTTAATCTAGAGCCCGAAAAATCGGCACTACCTACATTAAATTCATTGATTAAGTCTCACACACTCAAAGAGTTAACGTCAAGAACATAAATGAATTGAGGATTTCGATACATACTCGCGGTGTTCTCAAATTAAATAGGAGTGTGCTTGCTACGAATAATTTACACGATCAAGGTCAAAAAATTTACTTTTCATGGTTACGCACGATTTCTAAAATTAATCTCTGGATAATCCTCTTTCAGCACTCCTCTCAGGGCGTTCAATTCGATATCAATTTATTCAGAGGAACTGATGTTCCTGACGCGTTTAATTTGACGACCAACAACAGCTAGCTTACCTCTCAGACGCAGCAAAGTCTATTTAAATCCGAAAATATGCATTGTGCTTATGCATTCCTTTTAATACCCGAATATTCAGTGTTGCAAGAAGGACGTCTTTTGGTTATAGGCGTCGACACGAACTATTCTCACTATAGTGTCCATAAGCCTCTGATTCCGGACAAGTTTCCTGAGATCAGACCAGAACTTGATATAGCTATGACAACGTACTATGAAAATGGTCCAGGGACATATGTAAGGGCGTACTGCTCGATCAAAGTTTCAGTACGAAATATTATGGAGACCATTATATCTGGTCACGATGATATCACAGATGTGTCTCACATTAACTTTGGAGTTACAGAAAAAGACCTAGCACCTTGTCTATCTCACATTCAGTTGTCAGACTCGGGATATGATTCCGAGACGGCGATATCGCTCAAAGGCCTTCTACAAAAAAAAGTTTGTTCGACGCGTGATGTATTCAGCTTAAATTTCCGAAATGAACTTCAATTAACAGGACACTATGGTTATTTTGCACGCAAAGCATGCAATGGTAAGAAATGGATAAATCTAGATGTACCTATAGAGACACAGCAGATCTTTTTGCCCAATCACGTCTTCGGTGAAAAACGATGCGAGTATGAAAATGAAGTCAAAGTCTTGAGCATCGCAACTCTGATTGCTTGGTATCAGGGCCACCTTCATCTATTTTCAAAGCGTTTATACAAACCACAAATCGACAAACTTACGCGAATAGGTTCTGAGGTAAATAGTGCAAAGCAACTGCAGCTTGGTTTGCTGCAGAATTTCAAGGAGGCCAAAAACTTCGGTACACTCATCAGAGATCTGAAAAAAAACCCATTCATTAGTAGCTTAAAGCGTTTGCGACAATCTTACCGCCACGGAGGCGTGAACTTTGAATGGATATCGGCGGAAGAGCAAATTAGTCGCTTCATTTTTCCGAAGCTTCTCAACTTTAATATTGATGGCGAAGTTAAATGAGGGTATTTAGAAGCAGAAGAAATCATTGTCTATTTTTTGTTGGAGATTTTTTTCAAGAACTCAAAGTACAGTTCTCTGAATAACATTCTACATTTGAATCATCTATTTACAACACAAGATCATTTATTCAATTTGTGAAATGTACCTCTTATCTTCATTGGCATCGCTCTATTTGATAACTATCGTCACTAATTTTATGAGGAATGCTACTTAATATGATATACTCAACTCATCGATGTCTTTTATTTTCTATATCATATAATGATATGCAGCTATCTGACTATAACACATGATCGGTGCTATGTATACATTTTGGATAAATCTCTTGATGCTAGAGACACTCGTACTCTGTATTTCATTTGCAAAGACCACTATGGGGTATGGTTGCTTACACAAACAGTTGATCCTCCTCCGTGACTACTCAGCAAAGGGAATCTCAAAACTTTTCATTATCCAAGCATACCTTCTTTATCCATAGAAGTCTGCATCGCGAGAATTTTGGATGAGTTTTGCCGGATTCGAACCAGCGGTCTTCGATCTTAAGTGGGACATGTGTCTTATTTATGAGCTATGCTGAAGTAATACCGCGAGGTGATGGGGAGTGTATGATGTTATAATCTGTGGGTGACAGTGGATAGAATCATAAAATACTATGTTATAGGCGTATGAACAGATGTATAAGAATAGACTTGTATTATTTTATTGTGTGTACATCTATTAAACTATATACATGCTCGCCTGTTTTATTTTATTCATGAACGTGCTAGTTACAAGTCATCAATCGTACTCCTACTGAAGCTTAAATACTAGTGGGGCCGGGTCGGATCCGATCAACTACCGTGGAGTTCAGATGTATTCCGTCCCACCTAAATGACCGAACCACCTCGGACTTCACCGATAGGTTGAATCATACCAAGCCTCACCGTCCAGAAACCCGCTATATGCACGCCGTAACGTATATTCCTCCTCAGCCTCAGTCGCCACGCGCCCGAGCCCTTGACATCCTCATTGAATCCCATATTGAGATTTCGCCCCAGATCTTATCGTTACTCTTGCCTTGCACCTTTATATCGTTCCGTTGGGTTGTTATCGTCATTTGGAATGTGTGTGATCCCCTCAGTGTATTTTCCCTTTTCATCCTCCGCTGTACACGTTCTGTTTCCATCATGAGTTTCCTCATTAGGGCATGTGTAGGTAGGTGATGTGACGAGTATAGAGGTGAGTCGCAAGTGTTGGATCGACAGAGAAGTGCTTCGTCACGAATAAATAAGGAGTTTGAGAGATGTCGAATTTTTTAATACAACCCCCAGATAGATCTAGACTCATTCGTGAATCGTATTACGGTAATGATGAGTTTTTGTTGGACTTTATTGCGGTTGTGATATCTCTGCCGACTGATTTTTCGACCAAAATACCAAGTACAACTCCATCAAGCTGGAAATCCACCAAATGAATTCATCTCACCCTAGTTCATGACTGAATCTCGGCTATGGGAGAATTATTCACTCCCAGATTCGTGGAGGACACCACTGATAAGTGTTCAGCCTTCGTCCGTCTACACAGGGATGATAATATACGGAGGGTAAAATAAGGTATATGGAGAAATATGTAATGTGTAATGTGTAATGTGTAATGTGTAATGTGTAATGTGTAATGTGTAATGTGTAATGTGTAATGTGTAATGTGTAATGTGTAATGTGTAATGTGTAATAGTTACGCGGGATGATGTTAATAAATTAAGTACCGAGTGTGTGAAGGGATTTCACCTAGCCAGGGTGACTTTTCTCAACATCTATCAGTAATGTCCCTTACGAGCCTGCAGAGCCTAGATTGAGTAGATAACTCCTCACTTCAATAAGGATTCCCAATCGCTTCTGGCATCTGTGTTGTCCTCATCTCTCAACGCATCCCCTATCACCACTATCATGAAGCTAACCACGATCAGATCAGATGGTAGGGTCGGAGCCCTACTAATCACCAACCCTTGATCATGGAGGAGAAGCCATCCGATGAGTTTCCGGAGCGTACCCAGCACCCGATACGGAGATGGCGGATTGGATCAAGTCGACCTCGACTGTTACAAAGAAGGGAGATGTAGATGAATATGCGCACCTCATGTGGTCCCGGTGTCTAGGCCTCGCCTGGCAGGGGCCGCAGGTTTTTTGAGACTCATTCCCGCGCACGCAGTTTCCATTGCTACCATTTATTTTTATTTTGGGTGGAAGGTTCCGTAGAAATGGTAGTCGAATTCCACGGGTAAACGCTGATCCGAATGGCTATTCGTCACGGGCAATATCTCCACGATGTTTGGAGTAAAATAATTGCTGGAGAGCTGTACAAAGTATGACCTGTACCATAGAGAAGACTATCATGATACTAACTCTAGATCAAGGTAGCTTCATATACCACCAATTAAGAAGATGGGCCTGGATCAATAAATATTCCTATGTGTAATGTGATATGATGGCTGAGAGAGTTGACATTATTATAATTATCACAATTTATTATCCTGTCTCAATTTGTGATTGTACTGGACAATCAGGTTCTCTCTGCCTACAGACCAAAGATACCTGTACCATTGGTTTTTTTGAATTGGATTTAATTTGACCCGATTGGGCGCCCTGTGGGCCTGTGCGTTCGTGTGTAGGGGTTGCGAAGTGGCTTACAGTGACTTGGAACTCAAAGCACGCCTGTAATAAGTATCATGGGATGCCGGTGGAGTTCGTTAAGTCAGATGTAAGTTGTTCGTTCATAATCCTAACAGGAAACTCCTAATGTTACAAGCAAGCTTATACATGATTACATAATAAGTTCCCACTAATCTTCTCAACACAATATCCCGTGACCTGCACAAACAGGCCCATGCAGGTGGCTTTAAACCTATCTAAATATATACACAGAAGCCCCAACTCTGAGCCTTGCATTATGGATGTATGGTGCGGTATTTATGAATGGAACTATTAGTAGTATCTCGAGAGTTGTTGTTATACATCAAATGAGTAAAGAGCCTCGGGGACTGGCTGAAAAAGTGCAGGTGCTATGCTAAACGCAATCATGTAATTTGCGAACTGCCCTGCAAACCTAGTTAGGAAGTAGCAAGGGCGAAGCCACCAGGACAGTAAGCACAGGCGTCCATGCCTCTAAGTAGTTTAGTGGGTAGAAGGGACCTAAGTTAAGCTTGGCGCCCCGACGGACAAAAAATAGAAAACAAACAAACAATATATACACAGAAAGAAACATTCCGGTGAATAACCCCCAAGCTTTCTGGTTTAATTCATAAAGTTTGCAATTTATCCTTCAGGAAGTGCAGTTACACCGTAACACTGTCAATGTGAACCAATCACGTCCCTTGTATAGACCCCAACCTTGTACATGACCCGTCTCGTTCCCTGAGCTGCATTTCGACCGCATTTGTCAAGCGGAATTGATCTATCCAAAGGGCAGAACATGATCTTGTGCTTAGGATTTTGTGATTGGTAGCCACACGGACAACTTGGGTGATAAACTCCTGGTACTTTTCTTCTGTGCAAATACGAATTGAGCCCGATATGCTCGCTTCGAATTTAGATTGCTAAGCTACTTTGGGTCCTCGTCAGGTTTTTGTGGAGAAAATGGTGACTCACGGAAGCTTATTTTTGTACGTCCAGAATGGCGGCATTGGTAGAACTTTGCTGCTGCCCAAGTTTTAGGATTGTACCAGTGGTATTTTGCCTCCTATACCTCCTTTGCATCTCCCCTCAAAAGTACACATTTTAATATATACTAAGAGGACCACTTTGCCCTTCATTATTTCCTTTCTCCAGCCAATACAACGACGACCATTTGCGAGTGTATGGCAGCTGGGGAAAATTGTGAAAACTACTGAGTGCGGGTCTCTCCCAATACTGACATCAGGACCAAGTGCGAATATGGCTACCATTCCGAACCATTCGACGAGGCCCGTTAGATGTGCGCTGTGGACTTATGAGTAACTAAGAAAGCCCCCTTTTTGCCTTTTCGTCAGATGGTCTCGGCGGAGATGGTTGCAACTTTTCAACGCGATATCTGATCTTTGACTGAGCGCCCAAAATGCACAGCATCGAGAGAAAATCAGGAAGGAAGAGACTTATTCCCGGACGTAAGCGCAAATCCGTATTCCTTGGCTCCACGGACTAAATGAACACCTTCGAACAGTAGCCATGTCTTCAAATTTAAATTCAATTCTGGCATGAAGAAAATCTCGCACCTAGCATCCTTCCTAGGCTTATCCCGACTGCCACTTTCAGGAAAAACTCTACTTGTAATTGTCTGACGTGGGTCTAAATGATTGTCAAGGAGCTAATCTAATAGAAGCAGCGGGTGAAGGGTTGTGGAGAATCGGATCGAGACATGGGAGTCTTGAGGGAGGTTGTAAGCGATGTACTCTGCCTGGCATAATTACCTATTGTCTGCAAAGAATGATTTTCCGTATATCCCGCAACCCCTACACCTAAAATCTAAATTCTCATCCTATGTAATAAAATCAATAATCGTTTTTACGTGGGATATACATGACTTGGATCTTGATGCTCAGACCTAGAATATTATGCGGCAATACATACGAGCCATTTTGAACAAAGTTAACCAGTCTAATTTCATTTAGTGAAATATGCTACTCAATGATTATGCGCATTTTTCACTCATTCTAATAGATACATTTTTTTTTCCAAGGATGACTGGATATCTTTCGACGATTAATGCTAAAGTGTTGTGAATCCATAAAACACGACTCGTGGAGCAGCTATGTTATGGGGCCCTCCAAACAACTTTCAGATGCTCATGGGTCTGCAAAGGATGCACCAACTTCTAATTAAAGCATGAATCTTCATCTTGCCATTTCCGTCAATTTTTAACAAATATTCTGGGGTATATGATCTCGACATTCGCCGTGTGGAAGTTCACGAAGTACTAACTCACAACAAAAGACTTGTTTTCAAAGGTCTACCAGCTGACTGAATTCGTGACCAGATTCGTCTCCAAAACCAGCCGTTTCCACTGCTTTGCGGTCAATATGCGCTGTATATTTGCATTTCTTTTGATACCTCAGGAGGGTCTAGAGAACACGAAGCGCTTGGCTATAATGAGCAATGACTTTATTGGTCAATATTACGAAGTTTTCAAACCTCAAGCCAATGAAAATTTCCCGGTTGTCGAACCTAGTACCGGAATAGAGATGACGGAGGTCGAAATCACTGGGCCTGGCACGTACCCAACGGCGTACTGCTCCGATAAACTGTCAAAAAAGAGTCTGATAAAGCATGTCACTTACAATTTAAAAAGTGCTACTGAAACGTCCCATCTGGGACTTCGGGACGCCGACGAGGCGGCAAGAATATGTCTTGAAGAACTCAAGACTTTATCGTTTGAGGAAAAAGATTCACCAAATATATTCGTATCAAATGATGGATCTCCAAAATATAGTCCTTCAAATTCACATCATCAAACATCTGACAATGCGAAAAGCATAGGAAGCAATAGGCAACGTCGCTTTAGAAACTCGTCGCCTCAGCCAGAGAATCCACCAAAGATATTACTCTCAAAGATACGTGAGAGGAAAAGTTGTCCAGACTTGGGGCTAATCAGTCTCGCCTATCAAAAAAAGATAAAAGCAACAGGTCTTGATGTTCATTTTGCCCCGGAACACCCCAATGCAGAATATGAGGTGGATTTCAATGTTAAAGTGGACATAAATGAAATCAGATTTAGCGGCCAAATGTTTGCACAAGTCAAACACCAAAATAAGTTATACGCCCTTGCTTGGTACATGGGCCATCTACATATTTTCAAAAGAAATGATCAAAATTCTCAATGGTGGCCAGAAACGTTTATTGGATTGGAAAAGAAAAATGCCTTCAAACTCGCAGACTTCATTTGCAGGCATTATGTAGTTCTTAAGCCCGTGATGAAAACAATTTATGAATATCAACGTAATGACTGCGATTCGGAATTTTGTTGTATAAATTGCTATAAAGGCAATAAAGAGTATAGACAAGAGAAAAACCGGATAATTGCTGAAATTAGGTCTTTGAAATTGGGAAGAATCCCCGAAATAGATGGAGGTATTACAAACTAATGAGAGGTCACATTATATTGACCAACGAGACAAGAGAGAAAAGCTATTCGCCATGGGATGGGGCTGTTGAGTTGTGCGTGTTTGAAAGACAATTTATTTGCTACAAGTTTTAATTCAGGGGTGGCACAAGATATGATTATTTAAAAGATGTGGTAAATTTGTTTCAGTAATTATTCCCTTATAGGCTTGTATCAACTTCTTTAGTTTTTGTTTTTACTCTTAAGGTCCTAAGAAATTATCCCTTACCCGGTAGGGGTGTGACAGGCTGCGCCTATTTCCTAGTGACTGTCGCACGGACACTTCTCGTTATTACGTCACTAGCCTTGCTATCTGAAGAGATCTACTTTTTTTTTTAAATCATTTACTGTGTATTCAGTTGTAGAGCTATGACACATGAACGGTGCTATGTATACATGTAGCATGACTCTTTTGACGTCAGAGACACTCATACTCTGGATTTTATTTGCAAATACCACTATGACGTATGCTTGCTTACACAAACAATCGACCCTCCTTCATTAGTACCCACCAAAGGGACGTTTCAAACCTTTTGATTATCCAAGCATGCCTTCGCCATCCATATATACCAGCGCCGCGTGAAGTGTGGTTGTGTTTTGCTGGATTTGAACCAGCGATCTACTGTCTCGAGTGGGATATGTGTCCAAGCTATCCAGACTCTACTTGGCAGACCGGCCAAGACGATGTACCAACGCACCATCCAACCATGGCGGTGTTTATAGTGTTGCCTGCACTCTCGCAATCGAAGCCTTGGCAGGCACAATGCTCTATTTGTAAAAACTTCTTGCCAAAATTCAAAATTTCACGCTCGTCAAGAATGTATCTATCCTCAGCATCATCTTGTGAACCTCTCATGACCCCTCTCACGTCCATCTCAAAGAGCTGTCTCCCAGATTTGTACGCTACGCTTTGCTTCCTGCATCGGGTGTAAATATGGGCGTGGGTGTGTATTTGGCGGACAACTGAGGCTAGAGAAGGTCGGAGAGAGGTGTGGTCATAGGGATGAGGATGTACTAGATCGTAATTGTAGACTCGATGAAGCTTAGTTGAGAATCGGACTCTTTGGGAGTGAAAATTTGACGTGGTGGAGTAATTCGAATCATTGCCTCGTGGGCCAACTTGTTCGATATTGCGAAATTTGACTGAACTTGGCTCTGGGATAATGTTTCACTCCTAAATCCGTAGAGGACATCGCATACAGGTGTTCAGTCTTGCCCTCCTTTCCTAATTGTTTAGGAACTCATACTAATACCGAGTTTTGTTTTGGCATGGAACTCCCCATGAGACACCATTCTAGCTTCTGCATATCGTACATAGTCATAGACTCAGACAGGATAATAAAATGAATTAATAAATAGAAAGCATCCTAGGCCGGCAAAGACGAATTCTTCATCTTCCAGTGGTGCCGGTGTAATCGCTCAGTACGCTCTGCATATCTGGGATAGCCAAGAAGAATCGCATCCAAATCGAAGTCGAAAGCACTCACAAGCACATCTAAAATCGACGACTTCTCGTCAATGTCGGACCTATCATTCTCATGCGAGTCCTACACCTCCTTCTTACCACACCACCTAGCCTCAAATATCGATAATGGCGTTACTCAAATTACATTCGGGCACTTGCCTCATCAAAAACCGGCCATCTCCCACTACACATTTACGATGCTATGTATACCCGCGAGGAGGAATTCAAGTCATAATCTACAAAGCTCGGGTCTTGGTCTATGGGGGATCGTTACTCTAATAGGGCTTCACATCTTTAGGGAGGACAAACAGCTGGGATGTGAGACGAACGAGTGAAGAGGTCACCAATGGGCATGCTGGGACGCTCATTTTTCAAGTGTCTTCGACTTAAGATTGTCTATGGGCACAGAAGCAACGATTTCGGATAGTGCAACCGACACTCTAAAAACAGGCAACGATTGAAGGTGTTTTGGTCCGCCTCCTGGTCTTCATCTCCCAGAATTAAACTTTGGGTAGCTTGGACACCTATCTCACTCTAGAAATGGAGGACTGTGAGGCCATATCTCGCGCGGCAGCTATACACAATATGGCAAAGGTATGTGAGGGTAGCCAAAGGTTTTTCATGTTTTCTCTTTGGTGGATAATAAAGGTTGAGGGAAGAGTGAAAGTCCCTAGCACCAAGGTCTCGAGTGGTATCAGCGAATGCACCCACTACATGAGTAGTCCAAATGTCAAACTGAGTTATCGTCGTATATAGTCGCCGGAGAAGCTAGTCTTCTCCGTGTCATGCTCTTTGAGTGCAAGGCTTGTGCCCGTCACGAATAAATTATCAATTATCATTGAAACCCATCCTAGCTTCCACTACGTTTATCCATGAAAGTCCACGAGGCAATGACTCAAATAACTCCACAACGTCAAATTTTCACTTCCAAAGAGTCCGATTCTCAACTAAGCTTCATCGAGTCTACAAGTACGATCTAGTACATCCTCATCCCTATGACCACAACTCTCCGACCTTCTCTAGCCTCAGTTGTCCGCTAAATACACACCCACGCCCATATTTACACCCGATACAGGAAGCAAAGCGTAGCGTACAAATCTGGGAGACAGCTCTTTGAGATGGACGTGAGAGGGGTCATGAGAGGTTCACAAGATGATGCTGAGGATAGATACATTCTTGACGAGCGTGAAATTTTGAATTTTGGCAAGAAGTTTTTACAAATAGAGCATTGTGCCTGCCAAGGCTTCGATTGCGAGAGTGCAGGCAACACTATAAACACCGCCATGGTTGGATGGTGCGTTGGTACATCGTCTTGGCCGGTCTGCCAAGTAGAGTCTGGATAGCTTGGACACATATCCCACTCGAGACAGTAGATCGCTGGTTCTAATCCGGCAAAACACAACCACACTTCACGCGGCGCTGGTATATATGGATGGCGAAGGCATGCTTGGATAATCAAAAGGTTTGAAACGTCCCTTTGGTGGGTACTAATGAAGGAGGGTCGATTGTTTGTGTAAGCAAGCATACGTCATAGTGGTATTTGCAAATAAAATCCAGAGTATGAGTGTCTCTGACGTCAAAAGAGTCATGCTACATGTATACATAGCACCGTTCATGTGTCATAGCTCTACAGCTGAATACACAGTAAATGAATAAAAAAAAACAATTAGAACAGACTCAGGAACATAGGGTCTTTTTTTTTAATCCTTTTACGTGTAGTCAGCTATAGAGCTATGACACATGACCGGTGCTATGTATACATGTAGGATGACTCTTTTGACTTTAGAGACACTTATACTCTGGATTTCAGGAACATAGGATCGTTTTATAGGAATTGCGTAGTAATACTGTTCCAGACGCAGCCTAAAGCTGTCTTATTATTCAATGTACATATATACCTAGCGTGAAGGAGTATTCTTCACTCAGCGTCTTCTGTGTATACTCAAACCTATCGTTCACATACTTATCTTTTCTCTAAAGAAGACCGCCGTTATTGTACCAACCTCGCCTACTACTTACTTTACCTTTACCTCTTCCGTGAACCCTATACCTCTTCCGTGAACCCTATACCTTACGTTAATTTATACTCCTCCTCATAGGAATCCCTACTATACTCCACATCTGTACCCAACTTGTACCCTACGGAATACCCATAACACAGTACCTTGAGGCCAAGTGGAGTAAGTGCCCAGGCTACTCAAAATATACTAGAGAACACCACCAGAACCTGTATGAAAGTCTAGCTACATCGGAGTATTTTTTTATGTGATCAATTTAACCTGAGTTTTTTAGACAGTGAGGGTCATTTCCTGTCGTAATCCTCAGGATATTTGGCTGAGCAGTATGTTCAATCCACCTTCGTACCACCGTATCTGCCTTCTATTTTCATCAACAACATAATCGGTTGCTTGGAAGAGCGACTGATCATTCGAGATAGAGATTAGCCAGTAGCTTGGTAGGGAGTTTGAATACTGAGGCAGGAATTTCCCAGACAGGATGTATTAGACCTTATCGGAAAATCTACTCTGTATGTTAAAACATAAATTACGAATGGTGGACAGATGATTACAACAATAAGAACATCGTACTTATTTACATATCTTTGATATAGATCTAATCTAGACAATGGTGCTGGTCATAGTTAGCAATAACTAATCACCTCTCATCTACCATGATGAGGCAATATACGCACTGGAGTGCGTAAATATTCAAACGTGTATGCGACAACTGATATGATGAGCACACCTGAGACATCTGCATAGCGGATCGATCTTGTCGGGAACCTCTGGCGTTAGAGATTGCGACTGTGTTCTAAGATTGAGATTCAAAATTTCCAAAAGACCTCATAATAGGGCGTGAAATGATGGCACATTGTCATATCTAATCCCCAAAAGCATGAAAACAGGTAGTTTCGTTGAGTCAACTCAAGTAAACATACTGAAAGGAAGATAGGTCTAGACACTTTTTCCATCTGTCATACATCGTGAAATACATCCCAAGCCCGCTATTTCTATAACCTTCTCGTGCCATGAAAGTAGAACACTCATCGCAGCACCACCACTTTCGCTGGAGCTTGTGTGTCTTCCCGTAGTTTGCGGCGTTATCGTCGGCCTACGTTGGGGGTTGTTACTATTTTTTATCAAGCTCGAAGCTGCCATGCCTTTGTAACTAATATTGAGGTATTAGCTTGTGAGCGAAAATTCTTCGGCCGTCTCAACATCAATTCTATGCCAGTACTAATATTTGAGAGCACTAATTCATTAAAAAGATGTGGGTAATGCCATTGATGGAATCAGTCTCAGACAATGAAGTGGCTTACAGATACTTAGTCAGAACATCCAGCATCTCGACACCGCCCTCTCCTTCATACAGCTTCTTCACTAAGGGTGCCATCTCACTTGCTTTTATGCTTTGCAGAACATCAAATACTGTCGAATAGTGGTGTTCTTTAACGGCCAATTCAGCACCATATGGGGCGCACTCAATGGCACTTCTTAGTGCACCCTCTGCGTCACCACCTCGTAATAGCTGACGCACTTGCTGGCCAATAACGCGAATTTCAGCCTCTGAGACGGGCGCAAATGTTGGCTGTAGACTTGAGGCGTCAAAATTTGTTGAAGACTCTGGATCGAGAAGGTCAATATTAATGGTACGCCAGTTGTCAGAGATTGTTGCGTTGCTTTGTTGCTGGATAATCGACATTTTTGTGAAAGCTAGCGTACTTTAAGAAAACCGGAGAGTGTGAGTAAGCCAAATTATTTTACGAATTTCACAGCTTCGTAGTTGATCTTAGTTGCAATGTCAGGCCAGATGATAGCAGTATGACTGGTTCGGATGAAATTTATGTTAGTATAGTGAGGAAGTAGAGTCAAAAGTGTGAGAATATATGGAGGATTATAAACGATATACGTTGAATATATGATGTGATGCAGTATTATAGAATTATGTATACACTACAAGTACCGAAGATGTAATGGGCCTTCAAGCAGCCAGATGACTAAGCGACATTTCCTAGCAATATGGATTACAGAGATGTATGGGAGGACGAAGACTGATTAGATGTTAGTAGTATCCCCTTCGAACCTTTAGCTCTCACTGCAGAGTCTACAGACCTGAAATTCAGTAATAAGGTCCTCACCTCGATGAGAATTCCCAATCTCTTTCGCGGTCTATATCGTCTTCATCTCTCAGAACAACTCTCCTATTACCATTATCATGAAGCTAACCACGATCAGATCAAATGGTAGGGGTCAAACCCTACTAATCATCCGTTTCTGGCCGTGGACAAGCCGTCCGATGAGTTTCCGGAGCGTACCCAGCACCCGATATGGAGACGGTGGATTGGATCAAATTGGCCTCGACTGCTACAAGCAAAGAAATGTTGGTAGATATGCGTACCTCATGTGGTTGTGGATCCAAAGTAGGTGCCTTTCATGTCACCAGGCACCCACTGCACAGGCCACATCGAGCTGTAATTTAAGACTATTTGTTATAGATAGGTTATTCTTAAATAACATGTATGTTAATAATATTCCACCTTCAGAATCCACTGTATCAGACATTTAATTGATTGAGGATCTAATTGCTTCGTGATACCCAGAATTCTGAAAGTTAGGAAGATACATGGTCGCGGTATCTGGGCCTATCCTGACTAGGGCTGCAGATATTTTGAGACTTTTTCCCGCGCACGCCGTTGCCGTTGCTACAAAATTTTTTGGGTACACGGTTCAGTGAAATAGGCGGCCGAATGCCACGGGTAAATACTGAGCTGAATGGCTATTCATCAAGGGAAATATACCAATGATCTTTTAAGAAACACAAGAGGCAAGGAGCAATTTACAAGGTGTGGCCTGGGTCAGAGAGGAGCCCAATGTGCTAGATAGTCATAGACTCAAGTAGTACAATAAAAAACACACACACTGGTAATTGCAGATTATGTTTGGATTGTTTGTTTTTTTGTTTTATATTGAACGTCTATCTAAAAATGGGCCTATGCCCGTCTTATCTAAAATCCAAATGGAAAAAGGACGCCAAAGCTTACTGCCTCAGTTTTCGGAAGCCCACGGCTCTATAACCTAGGGACATGAGACCTGGTCTACAAAATAAGAGAGTATCTGATGACTAAGATACACTTATGGTAAATAATATAAAAGATAGATAAGGGAAAATAATTAAAATTAAAAATAAACCCCTTTGGTGTAAGCGCAATACCCACGAATGTGAGGGCAAGTTAGTACGTAATAAGTTGGTACAGAGCAAGTTAAAAGGTTGCCACGTTGACTTCTATCTTATCAAAGTTCCATCTGATCATCTGACGCCCCGGCCGATATCTTCAAGATCTCAAAAGTGTTTAAGAAAATAGTCCGCTTAGATGCGGCTGTAGATAGTGTTGATGGTCCTGCTACTTGGGAAACTGCAGGATAGCTAGTGCGCTCTGCTGTGTGAGAGGTGCTGGAGCCCTGCGGAGCGGCAGAATGCTTGACGCATCCAGCTTCTGCTTGGCGGCGGATGCGCGCCTCAGAGAAGACCTCCAGATGGCGACAACCTGTGATTTTGTCTTTGGAGGATTAGATGATTGTGACCGTAGCTCACAAGTTGGATCGTCTGCTGGATGAGGGCCGTGACAGTGCACACATCGCGGAGGGCAGGTATGTCCAGTCAGTGCGGCGCAGAGGTTATTTTGATCCTTCTCTGTGTGTTGGGTGGACCCATAAAGGCGGCATCTTGGGGCAGAGGAACAAGCGCAACTATTGTGCCAAAGCCAGCACGTCTTGCACTGTACTACCGACGAGCGTTTAGGAAGGATTCAGGTGACGGCGCGGCACCCAAAGAGATAAAGAATACGCGGAAGACGGCTATGCTCTTGTGGAAAGCGAACAATCCAGGTTGTGTCTGGGCTGTCTAGGTTTGTCTCATTATCCTCGGACGGGAGTACGGAGACGGGGGTAGCGCTAGCTGCTGTAGCAACAGCAGCTGTTACGGCTTCGGTCGTGGCTGGTTCGAGGCAGTCTTGCAAGTTTTGGTTTATTATCGCGTAGAATCGAGGGACATTCTTAATCCTGTATGACGTCCAGGGCGAGGCTTTCTCAATAGGAGCAGCCCCAAACAGATTAACTGTTTCCAGTTTCTCGTTTAAGGCATCGGCATTACCAGCGCTCGGGCGGAGAGCAAATCCTGTCTTTGTTGCACAACATTTGGTAGAAGTTTACTTTGGCTGCCAAGCTTAGACTTTAAGTGCGTCTGTATTGCATAGCTCGATGCGTTGCGCAGAGAACTGTTGGATGGGAGGCAAACGAACAACCTGTCGTCTGGTTTAGCGTTTTCAGTTCGTACGTGAGCATTTAGCTTCTTTGTGGAGGGAGGGGTCTTCTATGCGTCTCGTTTGGCGGCACCCGCGTAGCTTTGGGTGACGTTTACTTTCGCTGTCTTCACAGGGCTAGATTTCTCGATAGCTGAGGTACCGTGCATGTATGCGTTGAAGTACTTAGCAGCAATAGTTGCTAGTTCTGAGGTTCAATTGCGGAGGGCTCGAGCTTGAGGCTCTGGTAAAATAGCGCGGGCGTGAGAAGAACAATGTTCGCCGAGAAGTCGGGCTAATGAGCCAAACAAATTTTCTGCTTCACGAGCTCTTGAGGCTGGTAATTGAGCGGCTTCGGAGAGAGACCGTTGAACGGGGCCGGGGGTTTGATTTTCAGAAACATCATCGTAAATGAGATTTTGATTTGAAAGAGAGTTTTGGGGGACGTCGAGATCAAAAGGTGGGTCTAAGCAATTTTCTTGGAAGACCATGATTCATTCTTAACGTAGTCGCGGGTTATAAAAAAGAGATGAGTTGAGGTATGAGTGGATTATGTTAGGAACTAACGAGTAATCTTTTTTTTTTTTTTAATCATTTAATGTGTATTCAGCTATCTAGATATGACACATGACCGGCGCTATGTATACATGTGGGATGACTCTTTTGACGTTAGAGACACTCATACTCTGGATTTCATTTGCAAATACCACAATGAGGTATGTTCGCTTACACAAACAGTCGACCCTCCTCCGTTAGTACCCACCAAAGGGAATTTCGAAACCTTTGGTTATCCAAGCATGCCTTCGTCATCCATGCATACCAGCGCCGCGAGAAATGTGGTTGTGTTTTGCTGGATTTGAACCAGGGATCCACTGTCTCGAGTGAGATATATGTCCAAGATATTAAGACTCTACTTGGCAGACCGGCAAAGACGAAAGACCACCGCACCATCCAACCATGGCGATGTTTATAGTGTTGCCTGCACTCTCGCAACCAAAGACTTAGCACGCACAAAGCTCAATTTGTAAAAACTCCTTTCCAAAATTCAAAATTCCACGCCCGTCGAGACTGTATCCATTCGTTGCATCATCTTGTTAACTTATCCCTAATCCTCTCACGCCAATCCCAAAGAGCTATCTCTCAGATTTGTGCGCCACGCTTTGCTTCCTCCGTCGGGTATAAGTATCGGCGTGGGCGTGTATTTGGTGACCTGCTGAGGCCAGAAAAAGTCGACGAGAAGTGTGATCATTGGAATAAGGATGTACTAGGTCGTACTTGTAGACTTGATGAAGCTTAGGTAGGAATCGATCTCGTTGGGTGTGAAAATTTGACGTGGTGGAGCAATTTTAATCATTGCCTAACGAGTAATCATCGGGTAGTATTGTGAGGACTCGGTCGTTGTCATGTGATTCAGGTGAACAGCTGGGAATAGAAACGTCTCAGGGGACTTCAAGCTTCAATTATTTCTCAGACCCTTTCGTTGCTTCAAAGTCATCGTTGTCTCCAGCGCTCAACTATCTCACACCATTAATTTCCTCTGACAACTTTCTTATCTCAACGTATTGTAATATGAGTCAATTCAAAGAACTCTACGAATATACCAGTCAACATCCTCTCACAGAACTGCGTGTTCATTTCAGCCGAAATAACAAAAATGTAGACAAGCCGATTATGGATAAGTTCCTTTTGTGGAGAAACGAGCTCAAGGCTGACTTGGTAGTCATTGTAAAATTGTTACAGGAATTTGACCACTTATTGGAAAAGTTTTGGGATAACGATAATATCTGGTTATTACATCGCCAGACCCAAGATATAGTAAACAAAATCAGCACTAAAAAAATTAATATTTCCGATTTCAACCCCTTCACTGATTTAATTGTCTCTGATGCCGGCGACCGTGAAATTTGGTCTGAATTCATTAGTTTAGCTGATGACCTTACCTATGAGGAACCACAGTCACTTCCGGACATACTTATTCCAATAATTCAAGAAAACACAACGACTACCTACACGCGAAGTATTTCCGAAATTCCCAAATACGATGCAACTTGCCCTATTCTCACTGCAGCACTCAAGATTGAACTTACAAACAATGTTTATAAAACAGTAGGCAATTTTTGGGATGTTTATTTTGAGAATGAAAGGTTGTCTCAAATTACAACGCGAATCTGGGAGTGCTACCGCGATAACAACCAGTGTCAACCCCAAGTTTTCCACAATAACAAGAACGAAGCCGAACTTTGGACCTGGTTTTACACCTTCTTGGACCGTTACTTGAAACAGTTTATGCACCCTCACGAGGCAAACACGTCTAATCCAACTTTCATTCGTAGACCCAATGATCCTACCGCGCGCGGCAAATTTTATCATACGACACACTTTAACCAGCTTGAAGGCGCAAAGA